TTCACTGAAAGTGAAACATTCGAAATTTTTGAAAAAGTATCAGGATAACATGACCATCGAGGAGCTATTCACTGAAATTTTCACTGAAAGTGAAAAATTCAAAATTTTTGAAAAAGTATCAGGGGAACATGAACGCCGAGGAGGTATTCCATTTTCAAATGATATTTCGAATGATTAGTCATTTACAAAAAAAAAAAAAGGAATTATTTAAAAAAAAAAAGTGAATGTCGGCGGGATCGAACCCCAGCCGTCGGCGTGCTAGCCGAGCACGTTACCGATAGGACAACGCGCCCATTATAATAATATATTTTCATTAGGAGTATATATTTTGCAGAAGTATCATTATTAAAAATTTATAATTTTTTAATTTCACTGGATATCTTCTCGGTTTTCAATTATTCAGTTTTTAAAGACATTTCCATTAATTAGCCATTTACAAAAAAAAAAAAAGGAATTATTTAAAAAAAAGGAATTATTTTAAAAAAAAATGAATGTTGGCGGGATCGAACCCCAGCCGTCGGCGTGCTAATCAAGCACGTTGCCCATTAGACAACGCGCTCAATTAAAAAATATAATTTCATTAGGAGTATATGTTCAACATATTGAATATGTTTTTCCATTTGAAATACAACAAAATGTGATTTCCCCCTCGATGGACACCCCCGCATTACGTGTGGCGTCCTCCCTCTCTTGGGGTGCAGTACTACGATGCGGCTGGGGTCACTCAAACCCCCAGAACGCCTCTACTTCAATCAATCCTCTTTGGTAATTACTGCAATTGGCAAGTACCCGAGGCCTCCACGATAATTTACGATGGCGTACGAGTCGTAGCCACAATTTTTTAAAAAAGAAAACCCGAGGGGCTTGCCTAATGGTCAAAGGCGTTCCAGTTCTCTTTGCAATATCGAGCTGAACACAACGTCCACATTTTACAACAACACCCGAACAAAATAATTAATTCAATCCCGGTAAGTCAATATTTATTATAATCCCGAATTCCCTTATCTCTAAAAATTACCGGAACTTCCAATAATTCTCTGCTGCTTCCAATTATTCTATCACATCCCCATTAATCTCCACTAAATAAAATAATTGTCATTATTCCATCATTTAATTTGCAACAAAAATAATTTTTTTTCATTCAATTCTTTCTCTCATTTCGATACTTCAATTTATAACTAATTAATAACTCCTTATTAATTAAATAAGATCCAGTCGCTAATGAGTTTTCAGTAATTATTTAGGAATTATTGGGAGAATTGAAGTAGAAATTATGAATTTGAGGGATTTAATTGGAAATGATTAATGTGGGGGGTTCAGGGGGGATTTAATGGGTTGGGGCAACAGAAAGTTTTTACGGATGAGTAGAGAAGAACAAGAGATGATTTTATTTAATATAATGGAAGAGCGTTAAAGGGGAAGAGTTGGTTCCCGGAAGAGCCAATATTTGAACTGCCCCCATACTCCCAAATTAGAAATAACCATTTAAATTGTAATGTCACTTGGAAGTGCATAGAAATCATTCGAACTTGGCAGTTTACCAAGTCACGCATCACCCATGTTTAATTAAAAAAGTGACATTTTGAAGAGGAAGTGTTTAATTTCCCTGACTTTCGGATTATTTCGGGAAATCAGCAGTAAATAAGATAAAAGCATTGGAATAGAATTGAACTATCTCTGGGTGATAACATTGAACCAGAGGAACCTCTATCTACCCCAGAAGATTTTTTTTCTCCTCCGCAACACAGTAGAAACAACAAATTGTCAAACCCTGAGAACGAAAAGTTGATGGTGTATTAATTAGACGATTATCTCCGGAAGTATTGATCTGAGAAAAAAATGTTAGGAAACTTTTTTGTAGCTTATGAAATTCTTGACGGAAAATGTGTTATCACATTTTTTTATTAATCTATTGATTACAGAGATATTGCCCTGGTTAATAGATTTTATAAGACTGCGACTTCTTATCCTAATGCGGAGCTACCGAAATCCGGTAAAAACTGAATGAAATATTTTGTTATCTGTTGGAGTTTAATCGCAGACACTTGGATGTCCCTCGGATGAATAAACCTACTCATCCCATAATTAATCCCTTCCTCCCCTGAATAATTTATAACACCGATTTACTCGATTCGATTACTGAAATATTTCCGGAACACTGACTACCCCAAATAATAATTTTCCGTCGAATTAATGAGCAGAATTAATGAGCAGAATTAATGAGCAGTTAAAAATTGCTTGCAATTATTGTTCGCTGGAATGGCCAAGTTCAACGTCCAGTCCAAGGAATGAATGAAGAATAAATATAAATGCACTTGGAAATAAATGGCCCCGAGTTATTCAAATCAGATCCTGCGACTCTGAGAGCATCAAGAGCATCAACTATCCCTCTTATAAACATTTTTTGTTTATATTTAGCCATGCCTCTAGAAAAACGACCAGTGCGATAGGTTGATGGGCCCTTGGTATCGCAAGAAGTGGAATTATTGGAGCCATGTGGCCTCAGACATCTGCTGCAATATACTGGTCAAAGAACCCTCCGAGTGCATTTTTTTATCACCTGAGATTCAGCCTCTGAAAATCCTCAGGAATAATTAATCCTCAACTGCAATCAGTCTTCACTGGAAAAATAAAACTGAATGTTAATGGGAAAAAATTTGCTCGGCAATTTTAGAGCGAGTACTATTTTTTTTTTCTATCTCTCACTTCGCTATTTGCAATAGAAAGATAATTTCCGAGTGTGAGTAAGAGGTCATCTCCCCGACCTCTCATTATCTTAGTCCATTTGGTTATTGAATTTATATACCACTGAATTTCCGTGACAAACAAAAATCTATTCAACTTCTATCATCGACAAATCAATGTTCATCGATTTTGAGGACAGGAAAATTTTAAAAACACATGATAATTTATTAATAACTAAATCGAATTAGTCTCGTCAAATCAACGAATGATTTAATCCTGTAAGTAATAATAATTAATAAATTGAATTGATAAATCTTCCAATTATTTAATTATCATTGAGACAGAGAATAATTATTTTCTTTTGGGGAAAAAAGATTTATTCGTGTGTAATTTCTGCAGGATATCGTCTGGAGGATTCCAAAGGTACCAGAAAACCGAGAGGACATCAGAGAGGATGAGGCTGAGGATTTCGTTGATTTTGCTTATGATTCTCGTCGTTCGGCGATCTGACGCCCGAGAAATAACGTAAGACCATTAATTAACGATCCTCCAGTTTATTTCGAATTAAAAAAATCAAGTTGATGGGCTTTTGATTGATTTTCATAGGAAAAGGACCATTCGCAATTGCCTTGATTGAGAAATCAAGTGATTTTTTCCGTTTACGAGTGGTTTTTTTTTGCGAGTTAATTTTCCAGGGAGTCATTTGATTATTTTGCTTGAAGGCATGAGGATATTAAAGATGCGATGCTGAGTCTCGTCCACATGATGCGGGAGAACTCGGACAAGTTGGACAGGCACGAGCTCAGGGAGCGTCAATTGGGTGAACAAGTTAAAAAGGCCATTAGTATTTTATCGAAGAGAGTCTCGGCCATTGATGGACTCAAGATCCATCTCACTAAGTTAGATGACAGAATTGCTGGGATCGAGCAATTAATTTCACAGGTTAAAACGATTTTTTTTGCTAATTGAGAGTTAATTGAGGAGAATGCACGAGTCGATGAATGCTCCTTCGGACTGATACCGATATCTCGGAAACTACTGGACCTAGAAAAAAAAGTTTAGGAACTTTGTTGTAAATTGTGATATCCTCTACAAAATTGCTCCTACAAACTTTTCTGTGAATCCCGTACATCCGGGAATATTTTCGAATTTCTCGGAAAGTTTGTTTTTACCGATTGCGGGAATTCAAGATGTTTGTCCGGAGACTATTTTGGGAATATCTCGAAAGGTGTTCGATTTCGAGGAAAGTTAAAGAGGAAGTTTTTGTAGGGGATGAAATTTTCTGGAAAGAATGATTTTTCACTTTTTTTTGTAAATCGCGTTGATTTGGAGATATCGAGGGCTTTCGATGAAGTCGTGTCAATTTTCATATTTAGAGAGACGAGAGGGAAAGAATTCAAATGCAAAAAACCGCCGACGGCGTTGAACTCTTGGAGAGTCGTCTCAGCGGATGGTTCACGGATGTTGGGAGTAAACTGGTAGAGACGAATAATCGTCGTACCGACACCGAAGTACCGAGAATTCATGATAATAGGCCTTCCGAGATAATGGCAAAACTCAATAATACAGAGGCAGCTATTGGTGGTGAGCTCGTCAAACTGGAGTTTGCACTCGAGACTATTAACAATAAGCTGGGGGATGGGCCTGAGAGGCTCCTTATCGTATCCGAAGAGGTATTTTTCAGGTTCTTATCGATTGAATCCGAAGAATTCAATTGTTGAGTTTTTTTAGGTGGAGAAAATTGGCAGAAGGATCAGTGATATCGAGGGATCCTTGGAAGTTCTGAAGTCCAATGCTCAACAACTCCATGAAAAAATTGAGGAGAGGAGAGAGGATGGATCTGCACTCGAGACACAGACCCAGGCCTTGATGATTCTGAAGCAAGTGGCTGAGGAGACTTCCGATAAAATTCAACAACTTCCCAAGTAAATGCGAATTTTTTCCTTCGCTTTTACTGGCTGTATCTGCAGAATCCGTAGAATTGGCGGGGAATGTGAGAAGAACATTTCTCTAGAGAATTTTATTCTCCTCGAAAAATGTTTTACCACATTTTCTTGTGAACTCACTCCCTGAAGGGATATTCAGTCGTGAATAATTTTTTTCACTTTTACGTGTTTCTAATAACTTAGAACATCTGATATTCGTACTCTGCACAACGAGACTCAGGCTGTTCTCCAGGAGACGAAGCATGCCCTGAGGGAGGCCATGGCTCGAGAGGTGCACGAGGTCGATGCTAAAGTACAGGAGACTAGTCAGGAAATGAAGGACGCTATTGGAGAATTGAGGTAAAATCCGGAGAAAAATCTGTAATAAATGGATTTGTCCTTGACTCTGGGACACCTGCAGGTTGGACCTGGCGAATAATGCAGACCGTGTAAATGAGGAGCTGAAGGACCTGGGGAAGGGCCAGTCGGTGATGGTCTCCATGGCAGACCACGTCCTGGACACGAAGAAAAGAGTGGAGTATGGAGTTCACCAGATTCTCCTGGAGGTCGGGGATCTGGTGAAGGCCCAGAGTGTTCACATCAATGACACCCTCCAATCGAGGTTCGACGGTCTTTCCAATGATATCATGGACAATCAGAACGGAGCTGTTGCCAATTTAACTACAAAGATGGAACAGGAGATGAATCAAGTGATTCAACTGAATTAATTCAACCAGAAATTGTGTAGAAAAAGTAATTTTATCATTAATTTCTTTATCTTCTCAGGTCTGGAGGCAGATCAACGTGATGTACCAGCAGATGACTGAAAGTGCTAAAGCTCTGGACAAGCTCCATAAGCAGAACGAGGCTTACGTCAACGGGACGACCACGACGATGGGAGGAATGGAGAGTAAAGTGAGTGGACATTGGTCCCCAGTAGATCCATTGATTAATTGATTGATCCATTGATTTTTCCAGGTCGGAGAAATCACAAAACGCATGGCAGAGGTCGACGAGAACCTGAACTACCTTCTGGGAAGGCTCTCTTTGGTCACTCAGGAGTTCAATCAAATAAAATCGGGACTGGGTACTGCCCTGGATAACATCAAGGCCTCCTTCAAGGAGGTCCAGGAAAAAGCCAATGATCTGAGTAATCCAGGGCCTCATCCTGTCCCAGAGAACTACAAGGAGATGGATGAAACCCCCAAGAACGAGGATGGACATATACCTGAGATCATAAGCCACGTCAAGTCGTATTAAACCGAGAAATCGAAAATGAAAACGTGCCTTGGGGGAATCCTGATGCTCTCGTTGGAAATTCGGGACCTCTTTTATCTTTCAATTCTTTTAGTATTATTTACCACGCAATTATCGTCAACGTAATTCCACGAGCAATTAGTGTAGTTTTTTAAAGAGCTGTCCTAGAAAACGAAAACAAATGTTGAAATACAAAATAAAAATGAATCATGAGAGAAAAGGGGAATATTTGTAATGAATTAAATCATCAATATTGTCGGCTGTCAACAAATTGTTTTTACTATTTACTTATTTCATCAATAAATCTTATGACATTCGTTCTGAACATTTTTGGTTTAATTCATACGTTAGTTAGTGTTTAGATTCGTTTCCATATTTTGTTATTTTTCATCGCATTTTTAATTATTATTCTTTTACTATTTACACGTTTTCTTACCTAAGTATACATATGCTACATATTTACTATTTTTTTTATCTCCACTCATTGGATTATACTTGATATATTTAGTGTACGTTTTTTTGTTTTTATTCTTCCCTTTCCCCCAAGGATTTTTTTTCCAGCCAGTGGATCTGCTTGCGTTTCTCTAGTTTTATTTATTTTTTCATTATTTTGGAACTGGATCGAAGTTTTTTATTCACGCGATGTACAAAAAGTTTGATAAATCTAAATGCCGAAGGATTTTATAGTAGAAGCAAACTGGGCTGACGTCAAGTGGAATGAGAAGTTTTTTTTTATTGATAACTAGTAGTTTATCTTGTGAAGGAGTGGATGTACGAGCAAATGCTGAAGAACTTTTTTCTCGGAAATTTGTTGACCTACAAAAAAGGTCTTATGATGTTTTTTTCTAATCCCGATAATTTTCGAGATATTTGCCGAGATCATTTGCATGCTTTTCCCGATGTTGAAATTCTGTTTATTCTCAAACTTTTGTGAATATCGTCAATAATAGCAGGTTCTTTTACAAAATCTTATTGGACCTTTTTTGTAGAACAGACAATTATCTCAAAAAAATATCTTGTCACTTTTTCCCCTAAAATGACTCCTGTGGGAGATTCATAACGGTGAAACTTTCCCAAAATATTGATTCGCATTTTTCATGGCTTTTTTCAAGAGCTTGAGGTTAATTAATATTTTTAATTAATTAGTTAATCATTTCGGATGATGAAAATTGTTGCAGATAGTGCTTGAAGTATTAAATAGTAAAACTTCTCATTGCAATTGATGACCGCATTGATTTTTCCGTTTCTTTCACTCATTAAATTATTCTTCCCGCAGCTCATCAACAATTAAGCCTAGTTACACATTGTGACGGTGAGGATTTGTTTTTTTTTTTTATAAAATTTGATGTGCACACTTACAAATTAAGAATTCAAAGGCGATGGATGGTTTTGAGTGAAAGGCAGTTTGTTTTGTATTTTTTTTTTCAATTTTCTAATTCTTTTTTTCGTATATCGTATCTCAGGGAGGGAAAACACCCACGATATTACTTTTAATTACTCATTTTGTTCTCATTTGGTTCCAAGAAATAATATTTCTTGCTAGGACGTTGGAAACAGTCTGGGCTTTCGGCTTTCAACTAATTTCATTTAATCGTTTTTGGATTTCATTGCTTGTGTTTCGGGTTTTCGTGCTATTTTTTCACTCTCTCGGCCTCGATCAATCGAAACAATCATAATTATATTGATTGAAATGAAATTCACAGAAAAATCAGGGCAACTAATAATTTATCAAGAGAATTCGGGAGCGAAGGAGCAGCAGAAAAATATTCAACCAGCTAATCATTAATTATTTCGTTACCTAATAGATTTACAAAAAAATTTAATTAAAAGTTCTTTTAGAAAATTTCATGAGCGAGAAAAAATGTCAAGTACATTTTTTTGCAAGTCCCACCATTAACGAGATAATTGTACAATTAACGGGGAAATTTTCAGTTCGAAAAAACAGATCGGTCCTTTTAACCTTCTGTTGGAGCTGAATTATCTCTTGAAGGAGTGATTGCACGAGAAAAAGTGAAATAATATTTTACGTAGAAAATATAATCAGCTCCAAAAAAGTTCCTTAGAAGTTCTTCCTAAAACTACTGCTCCAGGAGATAATCCCGGAATCGCCGCTCCCCTCCCAAATAGTCTATCAGTAATAAGCGCACCAGCTTTCAAGGATTTTTTTCCTCGAGCCTAATATTCATTTTAATTGTTTTCGTATAAATCCAAGCATCAAAGCCGCTTACAAGCCCCAATGTACATTAAACACCTTCACTAATCACTCAACACCTCGAATTTCGTGATTAAAAGTTGCGAAATCGAAAATCAACGATTTCAAAAGAAAAATTCAAATTCGTTGAATTTCCCGTAGCAATCAATCACAAAATTCTGTAATCAGTTGATGAATCGATAAATATTCAATTTCTTTACAATGACTAATTGCCTAAGCCAATGTGAAAATTAATTATTCACAATTTCATCGTTTTAATTATTGGACACACATGGAAATTCAAAATGTAAAAGATTTGAAGACTCGTGTGGTGGAAGTTGCACATGTACACAATTCTCACATAACGAGTGTTATTTTATTTTCATTTAACTTCTCTTCACCCATTCTCGCAGAAAAAATATAATCCTCAAATATTTTGCCATTTTTTTGGTTTATTTTATGCTTTTTTCTGGGGGGGGAGGCACGACTGAAGCCAAAATACAAAAAGTTTTACTCTTTACTTCTTATTTAGTATTTTTCATTTTTATTCAATAAAAATCATGACCTCACATCATTTGTACGCAGTGTTGTGGCTTGTTTAATGTTTATTCTCTCTAAATAATATGAGAGATTATTAATTTTTGTTCATGCAGATATAATTTTGGAAAATGGTAATCAGAAATTGCTGTATCATTTCCAGAGAATTGTTTCATTGATTTAGTTGAGAATTAGCTGATCTGTTTTTTTTTTCTGATTCACTGCCTGTGATTAACCATCTGCTGCGAATTTATTATTTATCATTTGTTTTTATAACGTCTTAATGATTTAATTATGCAATTGATAACACAGATCTTTGAATTCAAGAATGGAAAATTGATGCAATCGATAATTGAATAAATGTTTTAGAGAAGAAAGAAAGTACTGAAGTGAAACATTCGATGGATGATTTTAGTTTGAAGAATTTGTTAACTTTAAATCGAGTCGGGACATTTTAATTCATTATTTCCATTATCATCTGTCCTCTGTCTCCATTTAAACTAGAACTCGTGAAACTTCATTAACTTATTTGTGATTCTCATTACATGATTATCGTAATCACTTAATCCTGTATATACATCAAGCTTTACGTTACAACTAATTAAACCCCACCCGTTTGATTAATTAAAATGAAAAGAAGACGAAAAAATAGAGAGAAGTTAAAACGATTTTGCAGTGAATCGATAATCTGTGAATCTTATTCCGCGTATATCTCGTGAACCAGAAAGTTGACGACAAAAAATTATTGAATATTTTTTGTAGAAAATTTCAAGGACCAAAAAAAATCTCCTCTTCGTTATCCCGATAAACTCACTAGTTCAAGAGAAATTTATAAAACAACAAAGCCGGCTTTTCCAACATAAAAAAATTGCGAAAAGAAAACCTCTCAATTACCACGATGAATATCTCGAGAGCAGTTTGAGATATCGAAAAAAGATAGAAGAATTTTTTGTAGAGAATTAATTTCTCCGGAGAAAATGTCTCTATAATTTTTCGATAGACCGAATACTTCACCCGATATTCGCTGAAATCCCTCGGTCTAGCCCCCTGTAATTCACTGGTGATTAAAATAGTTCTATTGATTTGATCTCAATCACATCCGACGTCTCTTCAATCATTCTCAATCATGAAGATCATCACAATGATCTCGATGACACGACAGTCCCGACATGACGTTGCACAGCAACGTTTCCCACTATTTCCCTCGCAAATAGGAACGACACGAAATTTCCCAATGAAATAAACGTCGACAAGACGTTGGCAATAATATAACCGGAGCACAATGACATAATTTACACATTGTCACGCCATTGTCCCCGAAATGACGATTATTTACATACGTACAGTGATCACAGCAACGAAAAACCATTTCACTCACACTCGTCATCCCCCGGATATGAATATAAACAATTCATACTGATCGTTGCTTAATCGTTAATTCATTAAATTAGTGGGCTGATAGTTCAGTTAATGACGCGATTGCCTTTGTGCATTAAATCTCTATCGTTCTCTTATTTTAACTCCCTTTACGTTTTTACTGATAAAAAATAATTATTTCTTTCCAATTAAAATGATTAAATCAATATATGATCCATTCTGCCCCACCCCCTAATATGTTTCATAGCCATTGGACAAAGACTCTGTCTCTATTTTAAATCCAATCTCAAACCCTTGAGCGCATTTAATATTACCCATAACATGAATTTCTCAGCGTACTTAATGTTCAAGCATTTTTATTTAAATATACCCATTAACTCCATTTCCATTCCAGTAAATTTTAGTGGACGATAATTTATTCTATTCAGAGGAGATAAATAGCTAACACTGACTGCATCGCTTAAATGGTACATTAGATACGTTTGAAAGCTCATGACAAGCTTAAAGTTTATTGAAAATTACATGGGACTCGAGAATAACAAATCCATATCAATTCTCTCAATCAAGACATATTTCCATAATTCTCAAGTCGAATCGTTAGTTCCTCGAATTGTTTTTCCATCGGGATAAATTTTTCATTAAGCATTCAATTGCTCTGTCTCACGTCAGTTATACCATTCTCTCAGCACAGCGAATAAATAAACAATATTTATTTATTCATTAAATAATTTATTATTGTTAGTTCTATGTACACCCCCGTAACGCGAATGGAAACGTCATTATTATTATTTTTTTTTGGTAATTTATCATTTTTTTGGGAAATTTTATAGCATTCTGTTTTTCATTTTTTATTTTTTTTCATCATTTTGTTATTTTGAAAAACGACTAGCCTATAACGAAGCGGTGATTCGATTTGGGATGCTGTGCGATTTAGTACGCGAGGTACAAAAATTTTATGGAGTTTATGAATTTTATTGTGACTTTGGGACAGATGTTTTTCCTGCTGTGGAATTTAGGGCTGAGGCAGAGGCTTTTTTTTGTGGGGAATTTTGCGAGCTACAAAAAATGCCTCTGACGTTTTTTTTTTTTTTGATAATTGAGTTTTTTTGGGGAATTTTTCCAGTGAATTATTTTCCTCGTTGGACAGCTGTTGTTTATTGCTCAATTATATCAGTAATGGCTGGATTTACGGAGAAAAGCCAGAAAAAATTTTTTGTGGGGAATTTCACGAGCTATAAAAACTCTCTCTGACATTTCCTTCCAAATGCAACGGTTAAGATTATTGGAGTTGATTTAACCGGAATAATTCCACAGCAACAGTTTCATCATGATTTTCTCCAGTGTACCACATAAAAAATGTAATTATCCCTCAAATAAGGCTATGGTAATTTAAATTCGGTGTATTGGACGCATAATGCCAAAATGCAAGTGTCAATGACTTCTCGATTGTTTCCTTTTACGGATGGCACGCGAAGCATTAATTATCTTCAATAATTCTCCTAGATCATAATCACGTCAAATTAAATTGCCCAGTTTCTCAACTTTTAAGGAAATATCTCCAAATCTAGAGTAGCTACCAAAATTGTTGCCAATACCTTTTTTGTAGAGACGATCGAGAGCTCCAAAAAATGTGAGAACAAAAATTTTGGTATCTCCCTCAGGGTCGGAAATATTTTCGAAAAAGTGATGACTGGTTGTCAAATGAATATTTCTCGTTTTCTGGTAGGATAGACTCTTGAAATAAAATAATTATTGATGAGGTTTGAGACGCCAGGAAGATAATTAAGCCCCCATGACCAAGTAAACTCTTACGAGACGTTATTTATCATTGAAATTCATAAGACAATAATTCTACCAAATGTAGGCGCGCTGCTAGCTCGACTCACTTGATGTCGATATGCGCAGCTGACGTTTGCCACGCCGTTGGGGGTGAGAGTGGTCCTAGCTGCTAGTTGATGCGATAGGACTGACAGGGCTCAATGGGCTACGTCCTGAGTCTCTCAAACAACCAGTTAATGTTACAACCAATTTACGACTACCTGCATTATTCCGGTGCTCGCACAGCCAAACACCCTGCCACGTGCCAAGTGCTAATTTACCATCGGTGATTGGAATGCTCAGGGAAGAACCGAGAAAACAGGCCTTCACGTGGGCAGGCTGAAAGCAACAATAAAAATTCTCAAATTTATCATCTCTCTATCATCCCATAATAATGCAATATCTTGGGAATGCAATATCTTGGGAACTAGAAGAACAGGAGGAAAAGGTAGAGAACCTTTTTTGTGGAGCAGCTCAAAGGCTACAAAAAAGGTTCGACAGCTTTTCTCATTGGAATTACAAGGACGAAGGTAGTCGCAGATAAAGAAATTAGAACCTGAGAAATCGTACCATGTCATCAGGGCCTTCGCAGCTGTGCCTGTAGGGCATGTCTTCTGGAATGATTTTATTCAACATCATCTCCATGTCGTCCCTGACATCGGGATCCCAGCTCTCGTTCAGTGCCAGGCTCGCCGATGTGTGTAGAACTGTAAAGAAATTTAAATCATTATTACAGGATCTTTGGAAAAATGAATAAAAATTCCAGGGTGTTCCCAGGTACCCGAAACCACAGCCTATCAATGTTAAAACATTATTCAGGAGTCAAATAAAATGTTTCTTACTCTGGATATGACACAGTCCCACTGAGAACTGCAGAAGCTCAGGGACTTGTCTGAGAATTTCCTCGGTGACGAGATGAACGCCCCGATGTTGGGGCCTGAGGTTGATCTTCCTCTGGAACCAGGCATTGCCAATCTGTATCCCCATGTTAGATGCCATTCTACCCCCCAGAACAACACTGTCAAACTCGTAAATGTCAAAATATCAAACTCCCAACAACACAGTACTCCGTCACGATTCGATCAGCGAATCAAGACCTGTCGTTTAGTGACGTTTTATTGGTCCCCATGGGCCAGCATCGGGGAATTTTCCCGCTGATGCCCATTCAGAATGCCCTGAACACTTGAGAGCTGCTACGAGACACTCGGGTCCACTGAGCCCATCGTCATATGGCGATTGAATTTTTTTTTTCTCTCTCCTTTCTTTTTTGAGCGTTTTTAAAAGTTATTCACTGAATTTCCTGGGGATACACCGACTCGGGGGAGTTGCTCGTCCTCGGGAGGGCCCAGTGGATTTTTTTTTGCGGTGAGAGGTAACCTATCGTCCGAGGACTTGCACTCCGCGCGACCGATTTTGAGGCGAGGTTAGGGGATAACGATTTGACGGGTTCAGCACATTACGCGGTTTATTATTTTTTTATTTCGGTGGTTTTAGCGAGTTTTTGGGGTGACACCTCCGGAGCGGCTTCGAGGGGGGTCCTCGGGGTGACGGGCACCGGCTGGGGCCCACAAGTCGCGAGGGTACGGTGGCAATCGTTTTTGGAATTGTGGGGACTCTAGCTTTTTTTTTGGGGGGGGGTTCGGTTTATTTGGGGGTGGGGTGCAGTGGGCGCATTCTCATGGAATTCCTCCGCATCGCGAGCGCGGGAATTTTGAATTTTTATATTGATAATTCGGGGATTGCGGCGGGCTGGAATTCTTGATGAAATATTTTTTTATGGAAATTCTTAGTCTTTGTCGAAAATGCAGGATTATTATCGTCAGCATTTGAAATTCTCTTTATTATGAATACATTAATATCTACAGAATTTTAGCCGCTAATTATCAACACCACTAATGCGCCAAGTACATGATTTTTTTCCGATCGTCGACAGATCTCCATATTTTATTGATAAACAGTAAAAAATACTAGGTAATACTGGAGTTTGATACTGCGTGGGGAATAATTGATGGAGAATATTTGGTCCTTCATTAAATTATCACATCGATGACGAATTCGTGGTCATCAAATAACGTCAACTATCTCATGAAAATAGAGCTCTATTTGCGTACATGTACTTTGATTACTCGTTACATTAAAAAAAAATCTAGAAACAGAAAGTAATAAAATTCAAACGACAACTTATCATCTACTGTTAATAATCCATTAATAATCATCAATTTATTAATCAATTCAAACTTTTATTTTTATCAATAAACTCTCATTACTCTATCTAGTCATAACTAAACAGAATGCAATACTGTTGTGTCATTAACTGGCATGTCCCAAAATTTTAAAGACTCTATTCTGAAAATCCCATAAAAAATTGACAAAAAAATTTAATGAATGTTAAATTTTAATTGAATACGTGATAATAAAAAATTTGGAGACAAGCCCCAGGCATTCAACGACACGCCCCAAAACTCCTGAACCAGGAATCCATACTTACTGCAATTATTTTTTAATTTCCACTGGAAGCCTGTGCTCGAGGAGCATGTGATTGACAGGAGGCAGTGCCAGGCACGCCCTGAGGACATTCTCGATGGCAGCTCTCTGTTTAAAAAGGGCATTGATGACAGGTGCACCCCTGGGAACAAGGGGAGCTTTGCAGAGGTACGACAGCAACGACAGAACACTGTCGAACCTCTCGAAGTCGCCACCCTGGGACTTCACCGAGACCCTCTCACAGAACTCCGCCAGGACGACGAGATCCAGGATAATGGGGCTCGCCAGGAGGGAATCCTCACACGTATTATGAACAATAATTGTATTGTGACCCCCTAGCATTATCTCAGAGACGTATTCGTCCATCGCTCGTTTTGAATCTCCAACGTATGGCAGGTACTTGATGACGATGCAGTGGTCTGGCCTCTCTCCCTCCTGGTACAGAATTTTATTCGACTCCACGATATCATCCACCACATTGCTCTTGGATATCTCTTTCGATCTGAACTGCTGGGGTGCTGACAGATTGAAACCGTCGTTGTTCCCCAGGTGATTGTAACTGGCTATCGACACTGGTTTTATCCCTGCTGACACCAGGAATTCCACCAGGACTGATTTGAGCTTCGTCTGGCCGGATTTAAAATCATCCCCAGCAATGAAAGTTTTGTTTTTCAAAGCGAGATCAACAGCACCCGGGACGAAAGTGTTCTGGGGTGAGCCGTTGATGTAAGTACAACCCTCGAGGGAAGCTGCAACAGCAAACATCGTGCTGGGGCTGATCTCTGAGTGATTCGAGGCAATTGCCTCCAGGAGATTTTCCGCTGTGTCATTAACTCCTGGTATCACTGAGGAAAAACGCTCGGTGTTCGCTGTCCAGAGGATTATTACTTTTGATAGGTTTCGAGTGGATTTGAACTCTGATATGTCCTTTCGGATACAATTCAGCTGCTCCTGCTTCGACCCGGGGATCAGGTTGTTGGCACGTGATTCCTGGAGGGTTTTTGGGGAGTCAGTTTATTTTTTTTAATTCATAATCTAATTGAGGGACTCACCTGATTAGCAGCGATGAAGTCGGGGTAGTAAATGCTCCTTCTGGGCTTGAATTTCTCCATGTGGGGCACCAGCTGTTTCTGGAGGTTGATGTCCAGGACTTTTGCTCTGCTCATGGCATCAGCCATATTTAAATTCGAAATGTCCCATCCGTCGACTTCGATGGAGTCAGGGTCTACCATGGGGAGGAGAGAGTTCATTGGGACATAGATTTCTTTATCACCGGATGTTCCTAGCCAGACTGTTGAGGCCTGGGTTAGGGATCCATACCAATTGGCATTTTGTAAACCGTCCTTCGTCTCCCAGGAGAGTTTCAATTTATTGGCGAGAAGGGCAGCTGTTATTGTCGTACCATTATTTCCTCCCCAGCCCACCAGCATCACTCCTAACTTCGGGACCTTTGACTCCGTTCTGATGACGAGCGACGTCGACCCGGGTGTCACCTGATTCATTAAATAACTTTTGATTGGGATTTTTTTTTTGCGGACATCTTGGAAACTATTGGGTTTAGAGAGAAAGTCGTCGGATATTTTTTGTGGAAAATTTTGTCAGCTACAAAAAATGTTCAATGATATTTTTCAATACATTTGACGGTTTTGCAGATATTCGGGAAATTTCAGGAACAAAATTTTTTATTTCAAGATAAATCGATTTTGAAAGCGGCCATGATTTTGGGAATATCACGAGTACCGCTGGTGTTAGGAAAAAATGTCATAGAACTTTTTTGTAGCTTATGAAATTTTCTACAAAAAATTTCTGAGCGGTTTTTCTCCAAATTTACTGATTCCCCTGGAAAATGCCACAATTCTAAAAATGAGTTCTCACAGTCATGGTGTCTCCATCACCCAGGGTGTCCACCTTCGTCGTCTGGTACTCATATTCCGCCTCGATGTACTGCTCGGTGTACTTCAATTTCGGTGAATTAACAACAACTTTCGGAGCCATCGCAGATCGTCTGAAAATCCTCGAAATCGAGCTCTTGATTTGTCAAACTTTCCTGTAATACTTCTAATCTCAAGTGTCCACTCGTTATCGCCCCGGGAGACCCCCAAACAACTGATAAAAAAAATCGTATAGACCGAAACAAAAACCAGACGAATTTATCAATTACTTCCCATCCCCTTGGAAGTCGTAGAAATTACTGGAAAATTGGAAACGCCGGGTTTACGATAGTATTTCGTCGAGAGAACGTGAGCGATTGATGACGGACCCTGGGACATGCGCCTTAAGAGCACTCAAATCCCCACTCCAATTATTATTTTTCACTTGACTACGATTACAGAATTAATAAAAATACGAGGCTAAATTCTTTCGTTACGCGTCATGTGACTCATCAGAGGTGAAAGATCACATTTTAGGCTATAGGAATTCGTGAGAGATAAATTTCCTGGCCACGAGTCGTGAGGAAATTATAAAATTTTCCATACCCAGATGTTTCGGTTAAATATTTTCAAAAATTATATTATTCCCAGTTTTTTAATGACAAAAAATCACACAGCATTATTTAATTATATTTCATTTGATATTCTATTTAATATTTCATCTTTTTGCTTGCTTCTTTAAAACTTTATGCCATCCGAAATAAATTGCGTATGAAATTGAAATTATTCGTTTTTTTTTGGATAACAATTGTTTTCTTTTTAGTGAATGTGTCAAGATTTTTTTAGTGTCTGAAAGGCGGGAATTGTCGGTGTGAATTTATAATTTGAATAAATATTTGTATTAGATAAAATGAGGCGGGGTAAAATCAGTCGATGAGATTAATTGAGACACGAGGCTCGATAATTCCCTCGGAATTTCATTAATTCCTCGAGGAAGAAGAAGGTCGAGAATTCCCGAGGAGCTGATGATTTTTATTTCATTTTTTTAGTGGCTGATTCATGATATATTCGATATTCAATCAAATGTTTAATTTATAATTCAATTGCTATTTCAATTGCATTCAATTGCAATCCCATGTACTCCTTGTCGGTTCTAAAATGCGCCATTTAATTTTTCTAGAAGAAGCATGGTCTATTAAATTATTTACATTCATAACAATAAAAACAAACATTTATTCATTGTTAGATTGGCATTTTTTAAATTCTTCCGCTCTCGGCGGCTTGCCGGTCAATAAACTCAAATAAAATTCCCTCATCACGTCCCTGTATTTTCTAATAGATAAATATATAAATGAATAAATAAACATCTTATGATAATTGAAATGTAATAAAAACCGTAAGAATCCACGAAAATGTCGGATTTATTCCTAAACCTCGATCACATGCTGAGACAAGTGGAAGGAAATTCTGTAACTGAAATTCAGGTGAGTCCATAACCTGCATCCCCTGTATTTTCCCTGAAGAGTAATAAATAAATAAACACAGACTGATAACTGACAGATCACAAATTTTGAATGATCCACTGATTAAAATATTTCAGAAAGGTTTAAACGAATTATACTCAACGCTGTCAAGTGATTCAGTGCGTTCAGATATTTCAAGTAATTCCTCGAGTCAGCATCACCAGCTGACATGGAAGGTGCTGCTGTTGCGGTGTCACCAGTGCCTGGTGAGCCTTACATCAAAAACAAAAGACCTCACAAGACCAGCTCTGAGCCGTCAGGCCCTCTGCTGCAAACTGGTGACCCTGATCCTGCGATACGCCAGCACCCCGACATGTATTTACCTGGAAGTTCCCACAATAATGTCCCTGGTCCTCGAAATCCTGACATCTAGTCTCTACAGCCAGCACCACGACGAGTACATGATTACCCTAGGAGACTGCATCCTCTCCAACCCATTGTACAGAGCCCAGATGACCCTCGATGACTGGAGAGGTCTTCTGAAGGTGTCCTTGGACCTCTTCACCTCAGAGAACTCCACGAAATCAATTATCATCGGAGTACTCCAGAAAATCGTCCTCTACGGTTGTCAGAGGGGTAATTTTCACCAAGAGGTCCTGAAACTTTTGCCCTTCATCATGAAACTCTTCCAGGACGTCGTCAGCAATCCCTCGGCCAATCTAAACCCCTCGTACAGACTCCTGACGATGATAATCCAGGAGATTGGCACGGAGAACAGAAGAACTCTGTGTGAATTCACGGAGAATCTGCTGCCCTCGGTGATGAGTGTCCTGGCGACCGGGGGTCAGGAGCGAGACGATTTGTTGTATCATATTGTTATCCTGCATCACCCCAGGGGCGCCACAGAGACTCCTAATTCATTTGCGAACAGCTGGGGCCTGTGGAGGAGGATAATGCTGACGATTCTGAACACCATCTTCAGGGAGCTGGTGCCTCGTCTCTTGGACAGGGGATTTTTGGCTCTCGGGGCTGAGGTTCTTCATCAGGTGGTCGTCGACGAGGCTTACAGACACGAAGACATTGAGTCTGGGGCCCTGGAGGAGGAGCAACAGCTGGGGCCCCAGATGAAACGTCGAAAGATCGCTCACAGTATGCAGACCCTGCTGGACCTTTTCGATGCTGACTTCACCAAGAAAACCCTGGAGAATCGGTGGCCAGTGATTCAGCTGGTCACTGAAGTTCTCAGGAAATATCCAGAGACCCTGAAATTTCGGGAATTTCATCAGATGCTGAAGCTCACGAGTGAACTTTTTATTGAGTCGACGAAGGAGCCTAGGGTAATGGACACCCTCTGCCTCCTGGGTCGCATTCTTATTCAGATCTCCAGGAGTTCAGCCTTCGCTCTCGATTCCACTGTCCACAAGTACTGGGATAAAATATTTGATAATGTTCTGATCACCCTGGGAAAGGGGCAGAACGAAATCGAGGGACACAAACTCCTGCAGATGCTCATTGATTATCGAGGCGTTTACAATGTCAATGCCTTCGTTAATCTCTACTTCACGAATGCCATCAAGTGGTCCAACTCGAGTGTCCAGACTCTCATCGTTCTCTGCAATCATGTTATCATCCTGGAGGACTCGAAACCGAACTCTGGGAGGTGGGAGGGTGAGTCAGACAGACAGAGACTTATCAGGTGGAGTCTGGAGGTGCCAGGATACCGAGTCCTCTCCCCCGATGCCCTCGAGGACGTCTGCAAACTCGTCACTGGACTCGTCCTCAAGACCTGGGACAAACGATTCACCGAACTCCATCATCAGGGAGAAGTTGACGCTCTGGAGTTCAACGAGGACGACCGGAGGTGCATCGATTCCATCCAGAAGTGTCATCTCTCTCTTAATTTTGAGACCGACCTCTTCAACGAGGAGATGTCGAGACCAGGTGAAAAGTCGGAGCCCCTGAAGCTGTCGATTGCAGAGAGAAACTTTCAGTTCTGCCTGGGAATGATTACAGAACTCCTAGACTTCCCTGGGGAACTCCCCGATGACGTCACCTTGATAATATCGAGACTCACGCTCGTGGCAAAGTGTTTATCAAATTTCCTGGAGCTGGAGGTGGAGTCCCAGGAACTTGAGAGCTTGATCTCCGAGTTTTCCATTCATTTTTTTGATGTCTTGGAGATGATGTGCGCAAATAAAAAATTGGAGCGAGATAATGCACATGTCGTTGGGGTGATCAGGGCTCTGGTGACTCTGTTCTCGTCGAGATACCACAAGAGAATCGCTAAGATCGTCTTGGAGACGCCAAAGGAACTCTTGACGAATCTTTTTTTAATGCTGAATTTCGAGGAGGAGAGTGAACCGAGCGAGTCCAGGCAGCTGGGGATCAAGTACTACGAGAGGATCTTCGAAGTGCAGATTACCCCGGAGGGAAAGCACTCGCAGATAACGATTGGCACTCACCAGGTCCTCACAGCCTTCTCCCTCCTGCAGACAGGGAGTCCAGTGTCTGAACGACAGATAAAGGTCCTACAGAATCTTCTGCAGAAGGAAATATATAAGACAAAACTCCTGGTGAATCTCTGGAAGGGATTGGCCCTCTTGAAATCAATCCTGCGAACTCCACGAGAATTTTTCCTGGAGGGACTGCTCGCCTTTATCGGCAATTTCATTCTGGATCTCTTTCAACTGTGGGATAAGGACTTCCACGGGGTGAAGGGCATTCTGGAGCTGCTACCAGGGTTCGTCGAGCTGTTCTCCAGGACGAATATTGATTACGAGGGACTTCTGGGGGTTCTCAAAGCGTCAGTCAAGCCCAGGGATAAGGGGTACTCAGGGCCTTTGATCCAGACGACATTCCTGGAGGCCGCCCACAGGATCATGAAGCTCCAACCTTCCTCCAGCCCTCGCCTGATGCCTCCGAATGAACTCTTCAGGTATATTGGCTCGGACCTCTACCTCGTACGCCTGTACTCCCTCAGGATCCTTCACCTCATGTTTTCCTCGGATGAAGTCCACATCTCCCACAAGAAGAGCCTCTTCGAGAGGATCGAGGAGATCGTGATGAGTGATACGAAGAGTATTTTTGTGGTGAACCAAAACCTCACTGGAACTCCCCAGGACGACGAATTCACCAACAGAACAGTTACTGCCCTCTACCTCCTGGGGACTGTCGTTCACGCCAGTGGAATATTTCATCCTCAGGCTCTCAATCTCATATTCAGACTCCACACGAATCGAAATCTAGATATCAATCTCATCAAGAAACTCTTCGCAGCTGTTATTCCCAGGGAGAAAGAGCGTCTCACCCTCATCAGGAATAATCTCTACGATTTGATGAAGACTGGGATGCAGGAGGGGGTGTCCATGGGGGACTTCTGGATGATGACAAACTGCTCGTCGGAGGTCGAATTTTATGAGAATCACATCGGTATCTTCATCCTGATTAAACTTGAGATTCAGGAGTTCCATAAAGTGGAGGTCCTCTGCAAGAACCTGGGGGTATCATTCGCCAAAGCCATCGAGGACAACTTTCCAGGAATTCTCTCCTGGATGCTGGCTGCAATGGTCAGACAAAAATCTCTCTATGTCGACGAGATTTATGTGAAATTGAGGGAGAACTCTGGGAGTTTCAGGCACGTCAGGCAATTTTCAGAGCTACTCGAGGAGAAGCTGGCAGAAGTTGTTCTGGATCTACTCCAAAGGCTTCACGACAGGGAGCACTTTAAGGACGTTTTCCAGGTGCCTGTCTACTTCCCGAAGATGATTGTCCCTAATTTTCGTTACGACATCATCGTCAAGGCACTGGAGCAACTGCAGATGTGCGTGATGGGGGAAAAGGGATCCCTCGTGCAGTATCTCATCGTCAAGCATCCTGAGATGGTACAGAGGATCCTCTCGACCCTCGTCAAGAGCATTCACGATCAGACAATGGTGGAATACAGGCTCAAGGCCTTCCATCACTACTCTTTTTTTTGCCAGCAGCTGATGTCTGAGATTTCTGAAGAATACTTCAACGAAATGTCGACTTTCGTTGTCAGAGACGTCTCCTATACACTCATTCACCTCCTCCACGACACCAACGAGCTTTTCCTCGACATTGTCTTCGATTTTTTGCACCAGTTCCTGAAGAAGCTGCTGCCCTCGAGGTCCAGGGAGGTTTCTGGAATTCTCAATTACTTGTCGACGAATCTCATCTCGATGGTACAATCCTCCAAGATGAAAGCAATAAAAATCCTCAAACTATTGGTCGTGGAAAGTACAGAGGTTCTCCAGGAATCCATAAGGATCCTCGGGGTTTTCCCGAACTCCCAAGAATTCGATGAAATTCGCGGAGTGTACAATTCCCTGAAGAAAACCCACAAGACGTGGTCACTAAAAATTGAGATGGAACACTTTCTGAATTCCGCTCAGGAGAAAACTCTGAGTTGCAGTGTAGAGGGGATTGTCCATCTGAGGAAGCAGTTAGGGGAGAACAGGGACGAGCTCCAGAGGATGTACAAGGACCTGGAGGAGCTCAGGGGTTTCGCCGAGGACTGCACCTCCAGTGTTCTTCACAGATTGACCTACAGATTGATAAAACTCACTGAGTCCTCGAACGTGAGCATTGGACTCGAGGCCACCAGGTGTTTAGGGGAGCTGGGCCCAACCGATCTCACGACGATGATTCTGCACCCTGAGGAGGGACACCTCCAGGAGAGTGCAGAGGCCATCGACGTCCTGACAGAGACGATTATCTCGAAATTGTCAGATCGACTGATCGAGGACAGCTTGGAGCTCAGGGAGGCAGCAGCTGATGCTCTCTATGAGGTGTTCTCTTCCCCCTGGGGACAGCAGATCATCAAGAAATTCAGGAAAGACCTGGGAAAGCCTAGTATCACTAGCTCAATGCTGACGATCCTCAGGAACACTCGTCCTTTCCTCGTGAGGGCTAACAATAGAACGAGAACGGTGGAGCTCGATGAGGAGAATTGTGCCATATGTTTTGTCCATGGGGATGAGATCTGGAAGGGCGAGGGTGGCGAATCCTATGTCTCATGGATCAGGAAGCTCACCTGTGCAATTATCAATTGCTTCAAGGGACTGTACACCTCCGCTCTAGTACCTGTTTGCAAAATTGACGTGGAATTCTGTGAAAGTATTCTCCCCAGGATGATTTTCTTGCTAATTAGCACTGCTGATGAGTTATTGGATTTTGTATGCAAGTGTATCAACAGCTTCTTCGAGGGGTATTTTGAGGCAGCATGTTCTATCGAGCAGACGATGTCCCAGGGAAGTCTGAGAGTCGAGGCGTTCAGTCACGAGTCCGTAAGGTGCATGCTGAAGGTCGTTAACTTTCTGCGGATTCAATCGTCTTCGAATTTCGAGTCAAAGTTGAATTATCTCCCTATAGCAAAAGCAGCGCAGTACTGCTCAGCTTATTTCACATCCCTGCTGTACGCCGAGCTGTCCTCAGAGACCATGAAGAGATCCCTACGTCAATGTGCCACGACCTCCCTGATCGATGGGCTCTGCGAGGTGTGCCCGAGTGAGGGTAAAGCCCTCCAGGAGATCTTACGTGAGGCATATCTGAAGATCGGCGATCCTGATTCAATTCACGGCTGTGGCCAGTCCCATCTCAAGTCCCAATCCTCGAGAATCCAGCACTACCTGCAATTCAACCAGTGGGACATCGCCATGACTGCCCAGGATGTCGAGCTCAGCTCGGGATTTCCATGCTCCAGGGGCATGATAACTGCCCTCCAGCAGACAGGACTGGATTACCTCCTCAGTAAGTACCTCAGCACGATAAAGAATGAGGAGAACGTGGAGGAGTACATGTACGAGACAGCCTGGCGTCTCTCTAACTGGGGAATGCTATCAAAATCCAGCACAACGGATTACGAGTACCATCACTACCACTCCCTGAAATACCTCCAGGAGAGGGACACGAGTGGTGTGAGGAGCTCCCTGGAGAGAGCTAGACTCAGTATAATCTCTTCCCTGAGGAATACCAGTCTGGAGTGCAGTCAAACAGTCTATCCAAAACTCCTGAAGCTCCAGATGTTGCGAGAGCTCGAGGAGCTCAACGAGAAGAGCATCGAGCACTGGCCAGAGGTGATAACCGACTGGAGACAGCAGAATCTCTCCAACATCAATGACTTCCAGTACATCGAGCCAATCCTCTCGCAGCGAATTGCCCTCTTCAAAATTGGCTACAGCACGAGGGACGATCCTTTTTTGAAGAACTCAATTGTCGAGACTTATTTGGAGCTCTCACGAGTGGCGCAGGCACAGGGGCACCTACACCTGGCAGGTCGAGCCCTGGAGTCCCTGGGGAGGACCCCCGATCTCACCGAGGATATGAGGGACAGTCTGAATCTGAGGGAGGCCGTCCTGGCATGGACCAGGGGTGACCAGACGATGGCGAGATTTCTTCTCAGGAATCTCATTGCTAAACCTGGAGGCACTGATCCCAGACTTCTGTCACAGGGCCTGAGACTCTGGGGCAATTGGATGGCTGAGACCAAATCAGAGGGGCCCCAGGTCGTTGAGGACCACTACCAGAAGTCCATCGATATTATCCAATCGATTCAATCACAGACGAGTGAAGACTTCAGGCATTTAAACGATACTAGGGCTGCTTTGGCGCAATTTGCTGATGCCCAGTACGAGCACATAACGGAATTCATGAAGACACCTTTATTTGAGAGTCTCCAGCAGACCGCGAGATTCGTCAGGGAGGGAAATTTCAGGGCTAAGCAGGGTGACAAGAACGTCATCTCCGCGATGAATAAAAATGAGAGGACTGATAAAAATGATTTTGCTGAGTATGAAAAAATACAGAGGGAGCAGAGCACGTACCTCAAGCTCGCCGTTAAATATTACTGCAGAATTCTCATTGATGGTGATTACAACAACTTCCTGGTGTTTCGTTTGGTCTCACTCTGGTTCAAAAATATGGACCGCGACGAGGTCAACTCCATCCTTGAGTCCCACCTCCACCTGATACTAACGCACAAATTCGTGCCCCTGATACCGCAGCTCGCACCGCACGTGAGTCTTGAGGGCAATTACTTCTCCAAGATGATTAATTCATTGGTTGAGAGGTGCGCGAGGGAGCATCCGCATCATGTGCTGCCTGTGTTACTGTCACTCAGGAATACGAACAAGGATAATGAGTTTCAGAAGAAGAAGACGGCTGTCGCACCTGTGAGGGTTCTCGCAGCTAAAAGAATTCTTGAGAAACTCGAGAGGACTGATATCCGGGGGATCATCGAGGAGATGACGAGGACAGCTGAGGCCCTGATGATGTTGGCTTATTACTCTGATAAGAATAGATCGGGAGTGGAGGCTAGGATTCCTACGGGACAGCAGATCCTCAGGATTAAGGGATTCGAGAGGTGTATGGTACCGACTATTAATTTGAAGGTACAACCTGGCGGGAATTACCAGGTGGTGGGTATCAGGGGATTCAAGGAGGTCTTCGAGACGCTGGGGGGTGTCAATGCACCGAAGAAGATTTATTGTCTAGGTGCTGATGGTGTTGTCTATAAACAAGTTATCAAGGTCGATGCTGATATAAAAAATGACAGCATCATGCAGCAGGTGTTCACTGTGATGAACTCATTGTTCCAGAGTTCCAAGGAGACGAAGAGGAGAAAATTGAGAATCAGAACGTACAAAGTCGTGTCATTGTCGCAGCAATCTGGAATTCTCCAGTGGTGTGACAACACGATACCCATGAGTTCTGTCTTGGTGGGGAGTGGAGGACTTCACGGGAAGTATCACGTGGGTGACTGGAAGCCAGACAAATGCAGAAAACTGGTGGATTCTGTCAGCAAGAGGAGCAACGAGGAGAGACTCAAAATTTATCTCCAGATATGTGAGAATTTTCGTCCAGCCTTTCAGTACTTCTTCCTGGAGAAGTTCCCATCACCTGAGACCTGGTTCGAGAGGCGAATGGCGTATACCAGGAGTATCGCCACTACCTCGATGGTCGGGTATATCCTGGGGCTCGGGGACAGGCACTGCAGCAATATTTTGATCGACGAGACAACAGCTGAGGTCGTGCATATCGATTTTGGTATTGCATTCGAGCAGGGAAAGGTCCTGCCTATTCCTGAGACCATTCCTTTCAGGCTGACTAGGGAGCTGGAGGCTGCCATGGGTGTCTCCGGTGTTGAGGGCGTTATGAGGAGGTGCTGCGAGGAGACCATGAGTGTTCTCAGGGACAGGAGGGAGATGATTATCACTTTGCTCCAGGTACTTATTTACGATCCTCTCTTCTCCTGGAGTATCTCACCGTACAAGGCGTACAAGATGCAGAGCGAGGACTCCACCAGGTTCACTGACTCCGGGGACCAGGATGTCAGGCCCACTAATAAAATGGCGGAGAGGGCTTTATTGAGGATTGATCAGAAGCTACATGGGACTGAGGAGGGAATTGCCACGAGTATCGCAGGACAGGTGGAGAGGCTCATCCAGCAGGCGAGAGATCCTGGAAATCTATCACGCATATTTTACGGATGGCAGGCTTATCTTTGAATTGTGATAAATCAGATCTATTCAAGTGTTAGTCAATATCCATTACTTATTCCCGTAATTATTCCTTGTGTTTTTTGTAATGATGTTATGTTTCTTCTGCTCATATTTTTACTTTTACCATTTTAGGATTTTATCACCCGGTGATTGATAATAAAAAATTCATACTTTTTTATGTCGTTTATTTTTATTTTCCATTTTTTTTCTCCGATTTTCCCGTTTCCTGGTGGTTGAAGGGTCGACTCTGGGGAATAAATAATCGGTAATTCGCGTGTGGAGAGAATAAACAGTGATAATTTTAATATTTAATGGGGAGGACTTGGGGATCGATGAGTTCGAATCAGTTTAGCTCGGGGACTGGTAGAGGTTGTCCTTCGATTTATCACTCGGTGTTGAGAATTTTTATATTCAAAATGAACGAGAGGACGAGGGAAATTCACCTGGAGAATTCTCCAAAATTGCAATCGAGCTCGATCTTT